TGCTAGAACGCTGAGAATAAAAGCGTCCAGGCCATAGAGAGCTCCTGGCCAAAGCTTCAAGTGATGGAATGCGAGTCTGAGCACATGACTCACACCTCAGCCTCCACATCTGTGAATGACAGCTGTCACCATCTTATCAGCCTTTACAACACGGCAACATGCCTCACTCCGGCTCCATCTCTGCCGCCCACTGAACTCCTCATGCTATATCTTAGTCTCCTGGTCAGGCCCTGTTCCTGGAGCTGGACCAAGACCACCTCACCATTCACTCATCATTCCCCCACTTCTCAGAATGGTTGAGACATTGCCCTGTTCCTCCATATACCCAGGATGAGCCAACACTCCGTGGACAGACTCCAGTTCTGACTTCCAGCTTCCAGACAAGTAATAATATGCCTCTCTGTGTTCTGCCTCGGTGGAAACTGCTCAGCAGGCAGAAGCCATCATGGAGGTTATAAAAGCAGCCACAGTGCGGCTCAGCCAGGGAAACGACTCCCAGAAGGACAGCTGTTCTTCAAGTCCCTGGCCATTCTCTTCTCTTCACAGGTGTCTCAGTCATCTCCCCATTTGGGCTGCAACATTCTATCTTGTCCATATTCTTCCTTTCTTTAGCCAACCCCAAATTTTCCCATCTAGGCTTTCTGTAGTGTTATCTTCTGCTCCCAAAATGGCCTGTTACAGTGTTTGCTAAATAAAAGCCAGTGTGAGAGAAATTTTGACCAGGGCCTCAAATAGCAATTACCGTTTTCTTCTGTTATTTATGAATGCTTCTCCAAAGATACTGGCACCTAGTCAAAATGTAGCAAGTACTCAGGCTGCATCTCTCAGAAAGCATTTGGCTAGAACTGGGGTGGGGGTGGGGAGGCAGAGGGGTTACTCTTTCATTGATAACACTTAAACTGAAAACAGTATGACCTCAGATGTACTAAACAAGAAGAAAACTTGCCCTCACTAGTGACCTCAAAAGGACTCATCTGAACCTGTATTCCCTTCTGTCAAACAAGAACCATCATGGTACCACCCTAGATTCTAACGGACCCTACAACAGGACATCTTGCACAGTGCCTGGCATGCCACCGCTCATCTGAAAGTGAAATGGAAACATTGATAGGATGTTACAAAAAGCACCGCACATTTGGGAAATGGGAAAACATGAATGAAAAACTACATGCAATGAAGTCTTAGCCTCAACAATGGGAACCCCCAGTCCACATCTTTTGGGAGAATACTTGTCTCGCTGGCTAATAGGATTGCTTAAATAACAGGGCTAAAAACCATAAGTGTGATTGTCATCTCAGAGAGAAGACGTGTTTTCATTTCTGTTTTTTTTTTTTCTTTTTAAAAAGTAATAACCTGACACCAGCCTTCATGTAGGTGCGGAACACAAATGTGAGAATATTTTAAATGAAATATTGTCATTCCTCCTAGGAGCCAGTGTAATCCTAGAGAAACTGAGAATTTTCCAGAGCCGTTGGGACATCTCAAAATGAAATTGTAACATTTAGACCTCAATAGTTCTTGAGAATTTTCCAGTTCTTCAAATGCTTGAAAGATGATCATTGGCTTCAACCTCTACAGGTCACAAGCACACAGTAGCAACTGGTTTTACAGTGACAGTCCAGTGGTGAACTTTAAAAGTTGTTATCATTTTGTTTGACTATAATTCACTTATTATTTTTCTCTGGGGGAGCATTCAGACTTGTTTGAGGATGACTATCTGGATCCTCCTTGAGAGTTAACTTGCTGTTCCTTTTCATCCGTATTAACTCTTCTTGGCCCATTAGCGTCTACTAGCCGTGCAGCTGAAGGCTGAGACTTGGTTTTGTAGTAAATAAAAATGAGATGTTTGGCTTTATATTATTATTTTCTCTGTGATTATCATGTAGGTCTTATCTTACCTGCTATCACAAATAATAAGACACAGACACCTGTTAGACTTTGTAATTGCCTTATTTACCTTGGACCGGGCAGATATTTCGCCTATGCTGTCTCAACAACCTCACCATTCACCTCCCAGGCCCCACCCAATGCCATCACCTTAACCATCTTCATCTGGACTACCTTCCATCCATAACCCCAAGATACTTACTTATCTTTTTTTCATTTTGGTGTTCTCTTCATCCACGACATCCTTGAAGTCCTTCTTCCCGGCTCAAGTGGTTCCTTCTCCATGCTAACCCATTGTGTCATCCTCCTGCCTCCTCTCTTCCTGTCCGTCTCTTTCCCATGATTCACTTGAACCCAAAGCCACTCCTATTCCATTCTGCCTTGCCCAGGTTTAGGCCATTTAATCAGCCAATCAGGTAGGTTTACACAACAAGGATAGGTATACTCAGGCAGTAACCGGCCTCAATATACAAGTATCAGACCAACCGCCAACACTTGCTGGAATATGGCTGTACAAAGTCTGAAGCTATTTGACAAAGCATCTGTCCCCAAATCTTTCTGTTCTGATTTCTCGAGCTGCACCTTTTATTTGGCACTCCCTTATAAAACACCTATGTGCACAGTACTCGCTGTCCCTGGGACACACAGACATATAATGCTAAGAGCCAGTCCCTTCCATTCTGATGGATCTGGCCTAGGGGAGGAAAACAGGTCTACCAGTAAGTCCAGTTTGTGACAAAACACACTGGCAGATCTGTGCACAATGTGAGACCAGGGGACGGGAAGACATTTCTATATCTTGGAGCAGTGTTGATATATATATAAAAACTTCAAAAGACCCAGGGCCTTCAATAATAAGCAAGAATTCACAGGTAAAGAAGAGATCTTACTGGTGCATGCCTGAAAACCCAGGAGACTGAGGCAAGAGGAATTAAGAGGAATTCCAGCCCAGCCTTAGTTACATATCTAAGTCTTGTACAACAAAGAAAAAACAGGAGGAGAAAGGAGAAGGAAGCAGGGAGAGTCATAGAGACTAGAGAAAATGGTGCCCAGGGGAAATATGAAACATATATATATGCATAAATGTAAAATATGAATGTCTCAAACCTATAATATAAATAATCTCAATCAACGGTACAGAACATAGTGAAAAGCTATACCAGTTGAGGTATACCTCATACCTTTGCCTTTTAGGTACATGGTAACTTCAGCTCTGCTTTTCCATGCTTGGACCATTCTCTTTATACACACTAAGCAGAGAGAGAGGGAGAGAGAGAGATCCCCATACACCTTCTAAAAGGAAGGAGATATTATTAGCAAAACTTGCCAGCATCCTTGTTCTTCATCTATGTGAGACTTCTGAGCTGCTCTTGTGAAAAATTAACACAGAGCATGACTTGTTCTGTCCATCTTCAAATGGAAAATCCTTAGTGTTGTCAAGTGCCACCAAGGACTGAAAGCGCATTGCCAGTCACCTGCCACAGTCACCAGGGGGATTAGTTATGCGTACACTCAGCCGCTTAGAACTTCATCACCGAAGTGTGCTCACACACCTTTGCTTTCATGGCTGCCACGTGTAGCAGCTCACGCTTCCGCAGTTTCCTTTTGCACGGATCAGCCATCATCTCTCCTGTGGCTAGACACACCATTCTCTGCATCTAGGCGCTTCAGAGGCATACAACCTGTATGACTGCATGGTGCCGCACGCTTAGAAGGATTTCACAGCTGGTTTAAGCCCCTGCAGTTGTCTTCTTGAAAGGCCTCCTATTTTTTTTTTTTTTTTTTTTTTTTTTTAGCAGCAAGGAGAACTGCATTTTATTTTTGCAGTGAGCATTGCAAATTATGCATCTGCCTCTGTCCAGAAAATAGCCCACTTGGAGGTAAATTTCTATGAAGCCCTGTGCAGATGGGGCACGGGAGCCATCACAAAACGGTTCTGAGCCCAGTTGTGTTACAGTGATTGTTTTACCTGCAGCCTGGGAGTTCAAGCAGCCCCAAAATGCTTCTGACATTTTGTTACAAGTAACTGATGTTTACCTATATTACCCTTTCTCCGGACTACATTTTATCATCATCCCATTAGCAACTACAGGGATAGGCCTTTCCCCTCCTTAAAGTTCCTTCAAGTTTATAAACACCTGCACAGCCAAACACTGGTTCAAAACTTCCCCATGAGGTGGTCCCAGTGTGCTAGGTCTAATTTAACACTTTCTTTAGCACAATTTGGTTAAGGGTATGGAGGGTCTTGATAAATGTTACGCCTTATGACCAACTCGTACCAGACCCTGGAACCTGAGCCGGTCAGTGGCTCCTACATGAGCTGAAAAAGCCAGAACTGAACACCCACATGGGAGGGAAGTTATTTTCTTAGCCTTGACAGCTTGAAAGAGGCTCTCCTTAAGGTGAGTGACAAAGGAGGCCTGTAAGCTCTGCATTTATCTCAGGGAATCCCGTCACACCTCAAGTCATTTCTTTGGTTGTAATTGTCATTTCTACCTATCCACTTCAGATCTTGACATGGAACTGTCACCAGTTCTGATATAATGGCCGCTCGCTGACTCTCCAGAGGCCGGAGATCAAACAGGAGCTCATCACTATTAGCTGGTATTAAAGTGCTCTCTTGAGGGCCAGCGATGCAGTTGGTACTTACCTAACATGCACAAAGCTCCAGATTTGACCCCCATTATCACACAAACCAGGTACAACTATAACCCCAGCATTTGGGAGATGGAGACAGGAGGTCAGAAATTGAAGGTTACTTGGGACGTATAATAAGGTTAAGTCAACCTGGGTCTTATGAAAACCTCTTCTCCAAAAAGATTTTTTTTTTTTTTTTTTTTTTTTTGGTGATGTGGGAATGTGGCTTCATGATAGAGTGTTTGCCTTGCCTTGGCCCGAATGGGTTCAATCCCCAGCACCAAAAAAAGAAAGGAAGAAGATCTCTTCGTGAAGACCCCTCAAAGACAGTTCAGGAACTCAAGTAGAGAGCATTGCATGGGCCTGTATGCTGGTGAAGGGCGACAGCAGACGCATCATCCTGATCTACAGTGACTAACGGAAGCCAATCTCATCCCTCTCTCACTCCTCTTGAATTCATGTCTAGAGACTGTGTTTCAAAGACGATCTTTATTTAATCAGTGCCCAGGGAAAATTAACTTAATAGTTTCACACCCAAATTCACATTCATTTCAAGCCAGTAGCATAATCCAGTGAGTGACAGAAACCTTAGACAACATTTGCCTCACTCTGCCTCCACAGTGGGAGGGGCTTTCTGACAGTAGCCATTGCTCTGCCTGGCCACAGTTTACAACATGATTCTCCAGCCTACACCTTTACAGATCTCAGGACAGTTTCTTCGAAAATGGACTTCAGAGACCACCCCTAGGCACCCAGGCAATCCCTGCCCTTCTGTGTGTTCGTGTTATCTAGAAAAATTAATACTGAAAGTTTAATTCCTTCTTTTGAATTTTTTGTCTCTCCACATTAATAAGCTCTACAGTCCTTCCTAATTCCTTGGTGGGAATTAAAGATCTGTGTCACCTTGGAAACGCTGCAGACGCCCCATTGATTGTTCCTCACATCTACCCAGAGCCTGTGGACCACAGCCTCACCCAGAAGCCTGACACTTTCTCTGTCCAGACTAACAGTCTTTCTCTCTTTCCCTCTAAATATCTTCAGTAGTCGATAGTTATGCATTTCATTCACTTATTAACAAATATTTACCAAGCACTCACTGTGGGTAGATGGTGAAGGGCAACAATTTGCCCTTCAGTGAATGCAGCTGTTGGCCCAGACAGTCCTGAAACTCAAGCACCCAGCCTGAGCCTCTGTCTTGATCCAAATTCCTATTTGTTGACTAAATGCCCTGCCTGGACTTTACTCTCTAAATGGAGCTTTCTAATTAACAACTACATTCCAAAGTCTATGGGCTAAGCCAGGCGTGCTACCAGTCAGGCAGAACTTACAAACAGAATCTCTCTGACAGATAAGCTGCTCAGAGGAGTATTTCCTCCTGCTGATGGACATCCTGCTAGGTTGGGAAATGTGAAAGGCTCCCCTCTCATACACAGTGCTTCAGAAACGGTCACAGCCCTGTTGCAGTTTGTCGTGAAACAGGTCTGCTTGCACCAGGGGCTGACAAGAGCTTGTTAACGCCAAAAATACTTCCCTCCCTTCTCCCGAGCTCTGGCAGCTAAATGTCACTGATATGACTATGTTAGCCTCTCGTGGGAACAACACCCATCTCACTTTCCTAGAATGCAGCTAGGTACAAATCTCTAGGAGCAGCAATTCACCTTTTCAAATTGCAGAGCCCTGGAGTAGCAGAGTAGGGAGAAAGCAGCTGCTACAAAACAAGAAAAATAGACAGAAACTCTGTGCAAATAGAGGAGAGGAGAGCTATTGGCATTAGCTGAGACTTTCCTCTTAGCAGAGGCCATGAATGCCGTGCAAGCTTCAAGGCTCTGTACAACATCTAATAAGTTTTAAATACAAGATCCAAATACATAATTCTATTCTAGTGCAATCCAAGTGTGTGAATACACCAGGGAAGAATGGAGTCAACTGCTTAAAAATCTTTTGCTCGACAAGACATGAATTTCACTGTGGCTGATAAAAGTAGATTCTAATGCCATATAAAATTTGTTTTTAAATGGTTATTTTTATCCAGAGTCATTGTTTTTTAATGACACTACCTTAATTTGCTGCTAAACCTTTTTCATCTATAGGCACCCAACATTAATATTTATTTTGTTCATTTAATTTTAAAGTATTCTTAAATGAGAGCTCTTACAAAGATTCCCCTGCTGCTGAAGGCACTACCATAAAAACATCCTGGAAATCTTGATTAGTGGTATCCTAGCAGTCTACCTCAAGAAGAACACGTGGGAAACAATCTCAGTACATTAAGAAATAACCATTCAGATACACCTTTTTTAAAATGTGCTTCTTTATCTTGGATTTCACATTGTAATGATAATTAAACTCAAGAATCGCCTCATGTTAAAACATTTCCTATGTACATATTTTTTTTTTAAAGAAAGTCCTCAGCATTTAACCCACACTTGTTGGCTTTCCAGAATCTCATAATAAATTACATTAAAATAAAGCTGCAGGGATACGGGACTTGTACCGTATTTAATATAATATACAATATACAACCATACTGTTTGTTTGTCCTATTTGAACTTCATAATTTCGTATCGTAACACAACACCATACAGCATACTTGAGCACAATATGAGTTCAGGACATAGGAGTATCATAACCACTGCTGGGAAATTCAATAGCTTTCTCACCGGAAAATGCCAGATCTCAAAATCCTACACACTGATGCACTTCTGTTTCCTCTTCCTCAGAACCATTTTAGTATCTAAAGGTTCTTAGCTAACACCCTACACTGTTTGCAACATGTACCTTGTTTTGCAAATTTGCTTTTAGGAAATAAAGAGAATACCATATTCCCAGGACGACCCAAGTCCCAAGCAAACCATTTCAAATTCCTGTCCTTTAGTATTATTTGGATGGGACATGAGGAAAAAAAGGAAACCTGTGAGTGCCCCTCCAGTCCTCAGCTAAAACTTCTTTGCTCTCATATGCCTCTGGTCATTGTGTCAAAGACACACAAGAACACCCCAGACACACATTTCTGTTACTCCACTAACTAGAGAAGCTGCCGCTGCCGCTACCACCACCAAGACTGTTCACTCCATTTCGAGACTTGTATTCTAGTCATCAGAACTTTTTTTGAAAAAGAAAATTCTATGCTTTCAATCTTTCCTCCTCCTCCCCCACCCCCCCCCCCAAACAACTTCAGAACAAAAACACCAGTCTCTGCTTCCAGGTAGCCTGTCTCCACTCAGCGCAGTAGTAATCAAAGCCGAATGCCTTCAACTCTCCAGGGCTCATTTCTTCCTTTCTGTGCTCAGCGCGGAACAGGGCGGTAGTGTGTGCTCTTTCTTCTCTGCCCTGTTTGGTTTTGCCCGTAGAAGATTTGTTCCATTGCTGGGCACCTGGCAGGCAATGATTTACATGTGAGAAAACAACTCTCAGTTATCATGAAGGCAGAGGTTTCTCCCAGCTTAGCTGTGCCCCAGGTAGCTAGCTGGAAATGTACGGAGAGGAGGGGAGCAGAAAGCACTGGCAAATCCAGAGTAATGGAGGCAAATATTAAAAAAAAAAAAGAATATTATTTATTATCTCCTTTATTAATACTCACACGTAACCTTTGCTCTTTACAGGAAAGTCTACTTTTGAAGACTGCCTCCTTGGTTTACCAGCCCAGTGGGGGGGGGGGGGGGCTTTCTGCTCTGAGGACCACTTCCCCTTCCTCCACCCACCCCACATCCAAATTACTCTTTTAACACTTTCACAGATACCACGGAAATTCTGTAAACAAGATTTGGGTTACTGGAACTTGATTTAGCGACATTCCACTTCGGGGATGGAGGTGGGGGCGGGGGAAGGGATGAGAAGGGAAGAGGGAGAAGAGGTGAGGGCCCAAGGCAATCTGTCAGAACTTTCACGTCTTGCCTTTTCCGAGGTGTGTGCGCGCACGCGCGAGCGAGCGCGCGAGCGAGCGCGCGCCCGTGAGTTGAGGCTGTTCCTTGAAAGTCACTGACTCAAAACGTTGACAGCAAAAGTGCCTGTGTGGTTATTTATAATATATATCTATCACAGAATATGTGGGCTTCCTCAGCTTGGATCTGGGCCGTGTTTGTTTGGACACAACGCCATCCTCTTTGCGGGTGCCTCGGCGGGGAGTCCGGTCCCTCCGGTGGGGAGTGGGGGGCGGGGGACCCCCTCTCAGAGCCGGGGCTTCCGGAGCAGGGTCTTGCTGAGGTCTTTGACCTCCTCCGGGCTGTTGACCCGCTCGTAGCCCAGCACCGCCATGGGCTGGTAGCAAAACTCCTCCACCTGTTTGATCTGCTGGAAGGTGAGCGCGCTCCGCCAGGCGTTGGCGGCCTGGGTGGCGTTGCGGGCTGACACCACGAAAGGCTTGGAGGAGGAGCCCGAGCCGCTGGTCATGTTCAGGGCGAACTGCTCCATCTCGGGGCTCACCAGCAGCCCCACAAAGCCGTAGACCCTCCGCAGGGTCTTCACCGGGTCCCCCACCAGGTCCTCGTACCTCACCACCAGGTAGTGGCCCTGGAGCCAGTCAGGGGGCTGCAGGGCCGTCTGCAGGGTCTTGGCCATGCTGTTGCAGATGACCTCCATAGCACCCAGGGCGTGGTAGTCCGCCGGGCCGCCCAGGCCCTCCTTCTTGGCCCCCAGCTTGTGGCCGGCGGCCTCCAGGAAGGGCATGCGGTGGGCCCTGGGGTCCCGGCTGCGCACCACCTGCAGGCTTTCCCGGATGAGGCCGTGGCGAGAGCGGATGCGGGAGCTGGCCACGGCCCGGGGGTCGCGCACCAGGTGGATGACCTTGAGGTCCAGGGCCGGGTCCCTCAGCAGAGGCGCCAACACGGCCACGTCGAAGACGCGCACGCCCTTGATGACCAGCGTGCGGTACTTGCGACACTCCTCCTCGAAGCGGGCCAGGCGCTGGGGCGGGCACTTTTTGCACACCCGGTCGTCCACCAGGCCGACGACCTCCTTGCGGTAGGCGGGGCAGAGGGGAGACGAGCACACCACCTTGTTGGTGGCGGCGCCGAAGATGCCCAGGGTGGTGAGGTTGCGCCCCCCGCTGCCGGCGGGGCTGTAGAGCTGGAAAACCGACAGGTCGCAGCGGTAGAGCGCGCTCAGCATGTCCCGCGCCGCCCCCTGCAGGGAGACCGCGTCCCCGGGGTAGAGCTTCTGCCACACGTGCCACACGGGCTCGTAGAGGAAGAACACCTCGGGGTTCTGGTTGAAGAGCTCGCCGAAGAAGGACGAGCCCGAGCGCCACGTGGTGAACACGTACACCAGCTGCCGCTTGGCCCCGCCGCCCCCGGGGCCCCGGGTGCCGTTGCCGG